CCATGGCCCTTAGTCTTTCTTGCAAGCTGAGGGCCATGCCCCCTGATAATAGATATTCCATAGTATATAGCGACACTATATTGCCCAGGCTGGGCTGCATCCTGAACCCTAAATGTGCTATAGTCTAAACTCCTAGTATCCCCCTCAAAAAACCCTACAATGCTCCCCCGTGTAATCCCCTATATAACCTGCCTGTAAGGAATTTAGACTCCTGAACCCTACATAACCCCCCCTAAGGAGTCCAGACTATGGATCAAATACATTGAGCCAAAGCACTTTATCCACGAAGCTGCCAGCCCAAGATCTTGAGATCCCTCTGGGCAGACGAAAGTGCGGAAATGTGCAGAGTTTAGGGTTCAGGCCGCAGGGTCAAGTTTTGGGGGGTTTAGGGCTACTGGATGGGCCTAGGGTTTTGGAGGTTCAGGGGTTAGTGTTTCGGGCCTAGGGGCTCCGTCACCTGAAATTAAAGAATTTTGGCTCCTGTTCAGGAAGTTTCCTGCAGAAAGGACCCTGCAACCGTATAGATCTGTGAGTATACAAAGAGTGACCTACACATCTTCATGTATAACGCCTACACACATATATACGTGTACATGTACTCATACGTAGGCAACATACACGTTTACACGATCACATAACATAACTTCCTGTCTTGGTCCTATACCACATGCCCTCAACTGTAAACCCTAAAACCCCTACAAAAAACCATACCTTAAACCCTAAAATCACTAAAAACGCTAGACCCTAACCATTCTGTGCCTTCACTCTGTTGCGTCACCTGTGCCAAGGCCGTCAGCGCTGCCAAGCGTGCACGTTCCGGCGCCTTGCGTACTCTGGGTTGTTGTTATCATGCGTTTCCCTACTACCCGGAGGAACTAGGTACACACGTGACCTATAGTCTAAACTCCTAGTATCCCCCTTACATATCCCTATAATATTCCCCTATGCAATCCCTTATATAACCCGCCTTTAAGGATTTTAGGCTATAGCTCACGTAATATCATGATTAGAAATTAAGTTAAATTACCAGGATTCTGGATGAACAATGGATAACATGCTTGCGTTGTAATGCTAGCTTAGTTTCACTTCCTTCACAGCAGCAACCCAGTAATCCCCGTACCCTGAAAACACGAGAGGGAGATATTGATTGTTGGGCGTGTCAAGTTTTTGCTGTCATGTGAGGGTTATCTTTAAGAAGTTGAGCTGAGGTCTTAGACTTCCAAACTTTGACTCCAGGTTCTGTGGAGCACCTTGCTTATGCGGACCGAAAGAGGTCACAGACTAAACCCTAAACCCCTAGGCAAGGGGCCTCCCAAGGCCTTCCAGGTCCTCCCAACTCAACATTTATTATCATACTAGTCAAAATGCCTACAGTAGCTTCCGTTTTCTTTTCCATTATCCCTGGATAAGCCCCGCAAAGCTCTAACATATCATTGATATTATGAACAGTAGTAAGCCCTAAACCCAACTCAAGAAGAAGGCCAAAGCTTACCATGTCAGCTTCTAAGGCACTTTCTTGTCAGAGAGCGGTTTCAAGAGCTCGGCAACCACCTGGGAGTTTCTGAAAAGAGGTTTAGGGCTAGGGTAGTCGATTCCCCCCTCAATAATAGCCCTTAAATATGGAGTTCATAGGGCCTTAACATACCACAATAGTCCCTTGTGGTACCCATTACTGGGTGTGGGATTGGCCCAAACTATAGGGACGTCTAGGAACATAAAAGTTGGGTCCTGCCTCCACCCATCAGCAGTCTATAAAAGGGGTCATGTGAAGGACGCTATATAATCATATTATAGTGAGTGGGGACTGTACCCAATATAAAGAGATTACAAAGGGGTTACCGGGTCAGGGTTCTATGTGGATTTTTCCAAGGCTCTTAGAAATTTCATGTCAGAGTGGACACAAACCTGTTTGTTGCTACGATGGGCCGCTCTCATACCTAAACCCTAAACTTGAAACCTCTAAATCCTAAACCCTAACTGCCAGTGCCCTCACTTCAGCTTTGGAACTTGACGTCTCAGTGCTTGCTGTGAAGGAACTGAAAACTAACATACCATTCTGTGAATACATGGTGAGCATATGCTGTGATCTCCTTACAATGGTAATTCAGCTTAAGTCTCCTAACGGCAATCCCCGTGGAACGCACTGGACTGCAGGCAGTAGCTGCCATAACCTGCAAAACCTGAGCAAAAGTATGAATCAGATTTGCAGCTTCCTAGCCAATTCTGGAGCATTCTGGAGCCCACATCTCCCAATACAACCCCTGAAGAACCTGATCTGTCATATTTGTGCCTGGTCTTGTGCTGCTGTTGGCAGTAGCACCGCCAATGCACCCAAGGCGGTGTAGGCCAGGAAGCGCGTTCTGAGTTGAGTTTCCAACAACAAGGGAGCATGCAGGGCTCAACCGGGGATAGTATAGGGCTTAGGGTTTAGAATTAAGGTCTACTTGGAGGGACATCTGGTAGGGCAGAGTTTATATCTTCACCACCGCCAATCCGACAAATCTTATTCTGCTTGGTATCGGTTCGTATCGTTATTACCTTCACGACCCTAACCCCTAAACCCTAAACCCTAAACCCTAAGCCAAGCCCAGACCCTTAACCTTCTTTACTTTGTTCTTCTTTATTGGTCCCCAGCCTCACTCAATCAACGCTACCACCCCAAGCCTGGGGCTGTAAGTCTAATTAGTCGGGCAATCCCTTCCCCTAATACTCATGGGGAGTGTCTAATACTAGAAGTGTTAGGGGAGGGGATTACTGCCTCCCTCCACCCAGTAGAGTCTACAATGAAGGAAGTATGAAATATGGGCTGCCAACACCCCTGAACCCTAAACCCAAAACTCCTAAAACCCTAGCCCTAAACCCCCAACCCCTAAACTCCTTAAAGCACTGAATCTCAAAACCCCTAACCCCTTTAAACTCCTCAAACCCCTGACCCGCGGTTCGCGGGCATCGTGGCCTTTGCTAGGGCCATTTGCCAAGGGGCATGATTGTTTTGGCACAAGCATGGATATCCNNTTAGGGCACCTGTCGGCGCAAGCACCCCTGAGTGTGTTTCTCTTCCTGCCCTTGCCCTGGGCTGACACAGATGTGTCTTTGAACCAACCAACCAACCAACCTAAACCCCTATAACCCCTAAACTCCTAAAACCCCTGAACCCCAAAACCCTACATCCCTAAGCCCCTAAGGACCCTATATAAACCCTAGTTGTTTTTGTGGTTTCCATTTTCTTTTCCATTATCCCTATATAAACCAAATCTACCATAATATGCTATAATATGGATCCCTAACCCTAAACCCTAAAACCCTAAACCCTAAAGCCTAAATCCCTAGACCCTAAACCCTAAATCCCTAAACCTATATGCCCAGCTTCTCCTCATTGGCATCCTCAGCAGCTACCTTTGCCAGCGGCCCCTTGGGATCCTCAGCCGAGGCTTTTGTTCAGGGATTCTGGGGCTTAGGGTTTAGGGATGTGGGATTCCGGGGTTTAGGGTTTAGGGATTTGGAATTAGGGTTTGGGGTTTAGACAAATGGACAACGACATGGAAAGTGGAATTATGTATCTTAGTTGCCCCAACGAAATGTCCTATAACTATCATATGACTACAGAGGGGTCCTACGTACTGAGGGTTGGGGCGACTGGACCCGCTTGTTATTAGACCCTAGCCTTTAGACTCGTAGATCGCCTGAAAGCAAGAAGATCCTTAACAAAGTTTTTCCTGACATGCCAACTTTGTCCAGACCATCCATAAGAACTGGGGGGGTTCCCAAAATTAGGGGTACCTTGTTGGGGATCCCTACAATAAGGACTATAGTATATTGGGGTCTATATTGGGGTACCTGAATTTTGGGAAACTACCAACTTTCAGGCCCTGGCAAAAGCCGAGGTCAGCCGCTTCCAAATTGTCACAACTCAGCGTGCGCAGCTCTTAAGACCTTCCGGAGAATCCATTATTAATATTACTATTATTATTGCTATTTTTATTATTGTTATTCTTATTGTCATTATTATTATTGTTATTCTTGTTATTGTTATTATTGTTATTGTTATTATTATTATTGTTATTACTATTGCTATTGTTATTATTATCGTTATTATTATTGTTATTATTATTGTTATTATTATTGTTGTTATTATTATTGTTATTATTGTTATTGTAATTAATATTATTGTTATTATTATTATTATTTTCATCATTATTATTGTTATTATTATTATTGTTATTGTTGTTATTGTTGTTATTATTATTGGTATTTTATTATTGTTATTATTATTGTTGTTCTTATTATTGTTGTTATTATTGTTATTGTTATTATTATTATTATTGTTATTGTTTTTTTATTGTTATTATTACTATTGTTTTTATTATTGTCATTATTATTGTTATTCGTATTTTTGTTATTATTATTGGGCTTTCGCACTAGGGCACTAGGGTGGAGGTGATGAAGGCGCTGGACCTGAAAACCAACTCCTGACAGATTCCCCTATAGCATCCAGAGCTCAATCAGCTTGGCGAGCAATGTGGCATCATCCAGCTTGGGGAGATTGCTCCCAAGCCTGAGTAGATGACTGTTAGAGTTTCTGAATAGCCTTAAAGGGAGGAGCTCTACATATTACCAGGCTAATTGAAAGGCAACCTTACAAGTATTGCAGGGGCGGGTGGTAGGGGGACCCGTGACACTAGATGACTGCAGGCGTTCCTCAGGTAAGTCCAGCTACAAGACTTCCCTCTTACTTGAGTCCCAAGGCAGACATCTAAGGGGTGGCAACCACCTCACGAAGTGGCGGACAGCAGATGATGGCACGCACGACTTTTCCAGCCCTGCGGCCGGGAGTCTTTGTTGTTTCAAAACGTGCTCGAGGGCGACGTCACTTGACAGTCGACTGCACAGCAACTGCCTGTATATCCCCGGACTTTTAATCTCGGGCGCTGGACACATAAGGAGAAGCTGAGAATGAGATTTAAGAAAGTATGCTAACACAGTCTGTCACGGTCCATCCCTCACACGGCATCTGAGGACAAGAGCTGAGAGACGGGGATGCCCTGCTGGATGCATCGCATGTAGTGATAAATGAAGTCACCCATGATCAGCAGCTGAACCAGCTGCGCGCATACCACCCAGTTGCCCACGAAAGCCTTGATGTTAAGGAGCTTAAATTTAGTTACCATACTGCCATACTGGATATATATATATATATCGTGATTAATAAGGTTTCCCCAATAGAGCACCTTGAATTGAATTCCTTTACAACAACCCGCCTTGATGTGATGATTTGGGTCTGATAGCTCACTGAAGGAGGAAGCCCAAAAGATGAAGGACATGACCTTCGCCAAGGCTTGCGCTGCCAGGAAGTGGGAGGTGTGCTCCTGCGCCCGGCCCTCCTTCATGAACATGAAGAGCTGACAAAGAACCTGGATCAGTTTGGGGACCACGGAGAAACCCAGAATTGGGTGCTTTCAACGTTCAACTCCTCGAAAATTGCACCAGCAAAAATAGGGTCCAGCAATCGTATGGGACCGTATTGGTGTGAGCACAAACCCGCTTTCTCGCGCACCCCAGCCCCCCATGGCTGTTACAGACGTCTGTCAAAGCCCGTTGTTTCCTTTGTAGTGGGGGTGTAGAGTTTTTTTTGTTGCGGGATCTGTCGCATGACCGGTCTTTGCAAACCCTCTGTCTCAGGAGGGCCGCCCAAGGCCTGTTGCAAACTCAACGTCTTAGGACCGCTACCATATATTCCTATACAAGATACATGTAAAGATATGTGCATATACTGACATACATGCCCACCTAGGAACAGCCACGGACTCCAGGTAGAGCGCGAAGGCCCAGCCAATGTCCGAGGGAAGGAAGCCGTTCAAGTTTGGATGGAAGACTAAGGCCAACCCAAGGGCACCTTGCTTTGGATTTAGGGCGTAGGGTTTAGTGATACTTGGTGGTTCATGGGACTTAGGAAGTACTTGCAGATGTATCATACTGCTTACAGTTGCGGCTACCGATAGAACCAGTTGCGGGACTATAAGTAGGGTCATAAACCCGGCTATCAGAGGTTACTACATCTCATGGCCTCCTATGATTAGCATGCTGTGTGAGGTCATATCCTGTTTGTCCATAAATCTTGGTTGTTGTTGCTGCTGTTGCTATTCCTGTTCACGCCACCACTAGTATAACAACGACCAGCCCCAGGGCACCCACACCCAGGTAAAGATGCTGGAAGGTGTCCGTCTCTGGGTTGTAGCTGGCCGCATACTTCACCCTGCAAAAGTACCTGGGCAGTTGGGTAAAAGCTATCACATGCTCATGTGCAGCTGACATGAATCCACAATCCACAACCCTAAATCCACTATAGGATGGAAGGAATCTCAGGACCAAGGCAATGTGAAACGGTAAGATGCTGACTAGCCTGGGTACACCATCGTTCCGGCTAGGCAGAACCCAAGCGCTTCGCATGTCTGGTAGAACCAATCCCCGGACTTGTCAAAGGGAAGGTAGCCTTCAAAGGGGATGATTGCACAAAGCCGGAAGAAGAAAATCACGAGGTAGCATTCCATCATCTTCAGGGAAACTCCCTTGCAGGATCGTCCGATCTCCATCTTCAAAGCCACCATCAGGAAGCTGAAAGTGCTGAGCAATGACGAGAGCGTCAACAAGAAGGAGAAGTCCCCGCTGGACACCAGCATGAAGACGATAAAGGCAATGACGGCAAAGCCCGCCCAGATCTTGAAGGCCTCACTTTGAGAGTACTTCATCATGTAGGCCTTCAGCTTCTCTGGGTCCTTGAGTGTGTCCATGCTGAAGCTGGGACCATATTTCTTGTCATCCATGGCTCACACCCGGGCGACCTCTCGAACTAAAAATAAAAATCAAATGGTCTTTCCCGTTTCCTTCGGGATCTTGCGTCAAATGCAGGCAGCAAGGGACTTTGGCAACCCTAAGCCCAATAACCCTAACCCTACAGTAAGTTCCAAACCCTAACCCTAAATCCTAAATCCTAAGCCTTAACCCCTAAACCATACACCCCTATGCAGCTCAGTCATATAGGCAGGCAGCTCGGCCAGGGCTTGTAAAGTTGCCTCGAGGTAGCTTCCGAATCAGTCATATAGGGATTATATTAGGGGTTTAGGGTTTAGGGTTTAGGGTAGTGTATGGGGTTTGAGGATTACATTGGGATTTTACAGGAATTATACAAGGGTCCTATAGGTTTTAGGGGTGAGGAGTAATGAGCGGCATAGAGGGATTCTACAGAGTTCAGGGTTTAGGGGTTAAATGGGGATGATACAAGGTTCAGGGCTTAGGGATTATATGGGGTTTAAGGTAATAGGGTTTAGGGATTACAGGATTACATAAGGCTTTTACAGGGCTATCAAGGGATCATATATGGCTTACATAGGGATGATGTAAAGCTGTCTATGACTTATGAGAGGTAGTTGGTGCATTTTTCAGATATATCCTGCCTGCTTCTCATCCACCTTCCCAGCTTTCTTGGCCAGCTCTGCCCAGGACTGCAGGGGAATCAGCGGCTCAAATTATTCAGTCGACAACGCCCCGGTGGTTTGCGGTTTAGGGAATTGTTGATAGCGGAGACCTTGCACCATCTAGGGCCTAGGGCCCCTAAAGTAATGTCATTACTGTGACTTTAGGGACTCAAGGTGGTGGAAGCTTTCCTCCATCAACAGTAGGGGGGCCCAGCTAAACCCCAAAACACGAGAATCCTTATCATACATGCCCCCAAAAGGCGACCCCCAATTTACCAATAGTACCAACACTAAGGCTCATGCATGCATCTGCTCCTCTAGTACGCACCCAGCCCCCGAACATAGTAAACACTATACATAATAGAATAAAACGGGAACAGTACATATCAGTGGGTGGGGATGATGATCAACGGGAAGGGATGAACACTCTGACGTGCGACCGCCCCCAAAAAAGTCGAAACGCGTGGTTGAAGAATGGCTTTTGGTGCTGCTGTTGTCCGCACTTCTACTGCTTCTACAGGCCTAGTTAAAAAGTTCATGGCGAAGCAAAAATGTCAACCTTCAGTGGAATAGGCAGTGATACAGGTGCTTCACGCTGTGGACCACCTATCCCCTCCGCCTAACATTAAGCCCCCCACTTCCCGAATAACAAATACCCCCCCAATGAGATACCGTTATATCACAGCAGAAATATTCACTCTTCGGTTCTTCAGGGGCGGGGACGGTTCATGAGTATGATGTCCTTCTCATGAAATACCATACGTACCCAGAAGCAGGGTATATTCTTACTCAGCGTTGGGGACTAGAGTGTCCTTAAGCTGGCCCTCCCCAACCCTATATACTTGTATGATAGACATATAAGAACCATAATATATTCACCATTATGCCTTAAAGTCACTGTCACTCTTTGGGGTGTCCACCTAAAGTATCCCTATGAAAAGTGCGACTCCCCCTAAACCCGAAACTCTAAACCCTCCCACAGAGCCTCGGCCACAGCAACCAAGGCAGAGAGATCTTTAGACTTCGCGGCTACGTCGCGGACCAATTGCCGGCCACCGAGGCGCTTTTCCTGCAAGACCCTCCCCCCCGTTCATAAAACCCCCAGGCCACTAATATTATATCTTCCCATAAAAGTATATTCTGGTATATCGGGAATGTTCATGATTAGGTGGTTGCGTTTGCCCTTACAGGGTTTTTACAGGGGGTTCCATGGCGACATACAACGTTTGGGGGTTCAGGGTGTCTTAAATTCGGGGCCCCTAGGCCTAGGGAAACGAGGGACTGCAAAAAGAATATGGGGACAGGAACTAGGAGCTTCACAGGTTTGGGGGTTTAAAGGTGAGGGGTCTAGGATTTAGGGCTTAGTTGCCAGTGCAACTTGCTTCGCTCACCTACTGGTGGTCAGTCATGATTGCTACCAAGACTTTGATTACCCGTCAAGAGGCTGCCTATCTCTCATGCTGTTGCAAGCGGTTTAGGGTTTAGTTTGGGTACTGCCCCCACCCAGTAACAGTCTATATTAGGGGTCCTATTAAGGGCTATATATAACTATATTGTAATTATTATCCAACTGTTNNTGGGGGCAGTACCCAAGGTTTAGTTCCTTCCCCCCAACCTACGTGGATGCCCAGAAGGGGTCCTATGAAGACTACTGCCCTCCTGAAGGTGAAGTACTTGGGACTTCCCAAAAACATTCCCCCCATATATACCCCCACTTAAAACCTTTACGATAGAGAATTTTCAAAACGGGGCAACCCCCCCATTCCTGGAAAAGCCCATTTGGGTGAGTAAAATTCAAGTTCGCTAACCTTCAGCATTTGCCTGGGAACTCTCTTGGCTTTGAGCACTGCGCATGCATGGGGCATCAGAACATTCCGGGACATATTTTGTACCCTAAGCCCGAAGCTCTAAACCAACATGTATGCTTTCGCCCGGTCCTGCCTGCCAGATTCAACGCGGTTGAGGATGATTTACCCAGACCCTCCCATGTAGCTACTTTTTTGGGCGCTATATTATACCAGAAAACAAAAAATCATAGCAAACCAAAAGGAGAATTACATACGAGCCCTTGGGTAGGGTTTAGGGTTTAGCGAAAAGCTACCATCCCCTGAGTCCCACGTAAGGGATAAAGAGTGAGCCCCGCTCAACCCTAACACCTGACCCCTGAACCCTAAACCCCCTTTTGCAACAGCACTTTAGTGAGTAGGTTTAGGGCCAACACGCCTAAAAATTAGTCAAAGAGGCCAGTACTCTACATACTTTTTTTGGTGTCCAAGTAAGTCTCAAATCCAAGCAAAGCCTGCCCCGCGCCTTGTCTTTCAGCCTTTCGGGAGCCAATTCCAACAATTCCTTGGCCTGAGAGGAAAGGTCCAGCTTGGCACTTTTGACCTGCCAGCTCTATATGGATCTAACTGGATGTAGGGCTTAGGGTTCAGGGTTTAGGGTAAGTTTTTAGGGTTTAGTTATAGGGTCTAATAAATTCCTCCTCGCCCCCACGACGGGCGTCATAAACGGCATATAAAGGAATGGAAAAGAAAATGGAAACAACTAGCATGGAGAATCTGATTGAACATGTCATGGAAACTAGGGTTCTATAGGATGATAAATGGTTTCAATCCCCTCCACCCTAATAATGAGCATTTCCCATATATCAGGGTACTATACAGGGGTTGCTACATGGGTCATGGGTCACTATGAGGGGGAGGGATTATGATGATCCAACTGGATGGTACTGTGAAGCCTCCTCCCCAATGCGTTCCCTCACGCAGAAATAGGGGATGTGTATGATTGTTCCAATGTGCCATCTAGGCCAAGGGCTGTAGGGCGTACAGCTCATAAACCCAAAGCACGTAAGCCCCTAACCCCTAAAACAGGACTTAGGCATATGCATACTTGAATCTCCTACATTACATGAAGTTGCACAAAACCATCTAAGAGCCCCAAGAAGGTCCCCTACTACTCATTCAGGCTGAAGCCACCATAACTTATTGCTGCTGCTGCTGCTGCTGTTGGATGGTGAGACGGTTATCGTTGGTACTCGTCCTTCTTTGGTCTTTGTTGCCCTTGTCGCGACCATTCTTGCCATCAGCTTTGCAAGAAACCTCATGTCGTGACTACAGACGCCGTCACTGTTGAGACCACCGTATTCCTGTTAGGTTTACAGTGGCCATTACTGTTCTTTCGCTTTCCCTTCTTGATGGAATTCTATTACAGAACAGGACTCCAGTTGCACCGATTGCCAATTCGTCTCTACTAAACCTTACCCCGAAACAAATGCCTAAACCCCCAAACCCCGTTCCCTGTACTCTACGGGGCTGAAAACTCACCGATATCATATTGAGGTCTTGAAGTACCCTATACTAGAACTATACCAGGAATCTGGGACCACAATATCGGCAAATGTATTACCTTGGACTTTCCTAAACCCTCAACCCGAAGCACTGAGCACTAAACGCACTAAACCCTAAAGTCCTAAGCACCCTTAACCCTAATGCATAAAGCCCCCCACCCCTAAACCCTAAACCCTGCTCACCATGGCAGGGAAGGAGGTCACGCTTGCGGCTGGCTGCCGCTTCCTGGGCTTGCGCAATATCTGCTGCCTACTCCAACAAATGGAAACTACTGTAGTATATAGAGGTTATATAGGGATAATGGCAAATAAAATGAAAACTACTATTTAGGGTTTAGGGTTTAGGGGTTGGAGGGCCAGGGGGACTTAGTAAGTAGGTTAATAAGGCGGATAACTGGGCTTACTACATATGGGTCGTATGGGCTTTGACCCACTTACTGAGTCCCCTTGACCCTCCAACTACTCCCACTTTCAACTTCAAGGTTCATGCGACTTGTTAGCTACTTATTACTGGGGTCGTAACCTATGCTTGGGGCAACCCTTATGTGAGTCCAGTTAGGGCAGTATGAGTGTAGGGGTTTGATGAGCAGTGAGTGGTTACTAAGTCCATGGAGCCTTCAAGTGGACGCCGCCCCGCCCCCGCGAGCCATTTTCCCTTAAAATTCTGGGGTGGACGGTCATGCGCCTAAGCGGAAAACGGCTCTGGTAGCGCGTCGCCTGCGCAGAAACGACAAATGCTGACACGACTTATCGATTTTGCGTGTATGCACTTCGGATGTACGTTTACTATGCCCTCGCAGCCCACTCGGCCGACTAATCGTGCTAGTAGGAACTATCATACCCGTACCAACCATGGTAAATCTAATGTGTATGGCGCTGCCCGCCAAGTGTTGCGGGCAAGGGGAGCCAAACCTACAATATTCCTATAATGATCGTATACTACTATTGCTAGAATATTCCTGTAATACTATAATCCTCGAAACCCAAATGGTCGCGAAAC